CACACACACACACACCTAGAGCTCTGTGTGGTGCAGCTGTGGTAGCGAGGCCTCCTTCCTCTGCAAGGTTTGATTCCCAGCATGAAGAACAGGGATCACTGCAGAGATCCAATGTGTGCATCATGTCCCCCCTCTTTATCTCTACATCTCGCTCTATTTTCAACCCTCTCTCACAATTCTTTTTCCCTTTCAGTGTTATCTTTCTCACCGACTTCTCTCCTAATTTTCCCCTAATGCTGCTGTTGCACTGCATGAAGGTACTCACAGCTGTGGAGAGCACTGCCTGTAAAGCACGGTGGAATAAATAAACTGAGATACACTTACCGCTGTGTGCTGGAATCTGCCATCACCATGGATACTGATAGTCCTCGCTTGCCCAGCTGTTGATTTACTGTATATTGTTGTTACCATAAACATAACCCCAAAACAGTGAGCATATGATACAAAATAATCTGTGCACTCATTTTTTTTTTTTTTTTTTTATCATTGAAATTGCATAGACATGACAGTGGCTACAGCTCATGTCAGTTTGGTAACAAAATTCGTTTTTCTTTCCTATTATTCATTCAGATATTTCCACATTGACACCTCTAGTTATATACAGTGTTTCTTTCTTTCATTCTGCCGTCTTATCTGTTTCTTTCTCCTCTACCTTTCTCTGTTATTTGTTTAGTCATTAATTCTCTGTTGCTTACACTTTGGGATCAACACACACACACACACACTAACTTAAAATTAATGGAAGTGGCTTCCCCGCAGCAGTTTTTCTTAGTTCAGGAAAACTGGTGTTGTGATTTTCTTCTCATTTGATTAAGGATCTCTAGTAATCTCTAGCAGCAGTCATGGTGACGGACGTAAGTAGCAGGCTCACCAGATGACATTAAATGTTGCAGGCTGCAATGCCCTTAAGGTAGCCACTTATCCGGCTTTAGCAGCATTAGCATCAAGTTGGAGCTGGCCCGCACCTTGTGCTTGTCCTCCCAGGATTAGCTTAATGTTAGCGCAGAGGTTCGCAGCAGCACAAGTGGCTCACGCCTTAAACTCAGCTTAATTAAATGTCACTGCACACATAGAAAAACAATACAGTACATTTTCATTATAGTTCACGTGTGTGTGTCTGTGTGTGTG